GCAGAAAACTAGGAGAAAGGGAAGCTTGACTATTTACTTTTAATTTTTTAAAAAATTTATCCAGGACTGTCAAAGAGAGAATTTATCCAGGACTTTCAAGAGAGTTTGAAGAATCTATAGACTTTGTACTGGCAGGTGACTTTTTTTTTAGATTTCATATATGAAGTAACAAGATTAGAAGACAACTTCCAGGGCATGTGCACAAGCTCATTAGGGAATCCCCCCTGCACCCCTGCCACCCAGGTTTCGGGATATAATTGACAAATATAAATTGTATATATTTATGGGGCACAAGATGATATTTTGATATCTGTATACTTTATGAAATGATTAAATCAAGCCAGGGAATCTTTATAAGGCTGAAAATGAGAAGTCTTAGTATTCATTATCTGGGTCTCTTGCTTTTCATGAGGTCAGATCTCACATACACACACACACACACACACACACACACACACATGCACACACAAACATGTTTAAGTGGGACCCAGTAACTCATTCCAATGACTCACAGTTTTCATCATCAAGAAAGCCTCTTCAGGCCTTTCAGATGGTAGGAAACTAAACTAGTTACTCCTTTCATTGGTCAGAGGGCAGAAGATTTCTGGTTTGGGTCAGAGCTTTTCAGATTCTTTATGACTCTTGAATTCTGCTGAATCATATTGTCTTAGGGTGGCGGGGTGGTGGTGGGGTGAGGGTTGGGAAGGAATTTTCATCACTGACTTCCATATTCCTACACATGTCTATATTTCAGGAGGCTTTGATTCAGTATATCTAGAGCAGGACCTAGAATCCACTTTTAGATGTCTACCCAGGGCCTGTACAAGGAATTTCACTATAAAGCCAGGGAGAATTATTGCCTAGTGGCTCCATCACTCTGGTACAGGAGAGTAAACATAGGGGATGTATTCTGTGGAACTCTAGGCAGCCACAGGAGACAAAGGACAGGATGCACAGTACAGACTCAGAAGGGCAGACAACAGAATGAAATTTGTTATATGACACCATTTTTTAAAATAATAATAACATTTATGTATGTGAAACAAAACTGATATGTGGATACATATTTAAATACATATATTGACCATGATAGAGGAGTGGATATTATGGATGGAGAAAATAAAAAATGTCTTTGTAATAACTGAGGATGACAACATGCTAAGCACTGAGGAGCGTGGCTGCTAGGTCTTAAATATGTCCCCCCAAATTTCATTTGTTGAAAATTGTATTCCCAAATTCATGTGATACCTGAAGTGTGGCCTTTAGAAACTAATTAGAATTAGATAAAATCAGGCAGTACCCCCCTAGGACTGGTGGGCTTCTAAGATGAGCTGGCCACAGTGGCACCAGACTGTAATCTCAGTAACTCAGGAGGCTGAGCCAGGAGGATCACAAGTTCAAGGCCAGCTGTAGCAATTTAGGGAATCTGATCAATTCATCAAGATCCTGTTTCAAAATAAAAAATAAAAAAAGTTGGGGATGTAGCTCAGTGGTAAAGTGCCTCTGGGTTTAATCTCCAGTACCAAAAAAAAGGATGAAGAAGAGACACCTGGGCTGACACATGCTTGTTCTGTCTCTCCAGGTGATGCCCTCTGTCATGTTTGGAAGCAACTGGAAAATCCACACTAGACACAGCACAGATGCCGACATGACACCATGCTCCTAGAATCCCCAGGTTCCAGGCCCATGAGCCAAATAAACTGACATTCTTTATGAGTTGCCCGGTCTGTGGTATTCAGTTATAGCAACAAAAGCCAAACAAGATGATGGCTAACTAGACTTTACATTTAACCTTCAAGAAAAGGAAGAAAAAAAAATGATTGGGAACAATAAAATGTGCTCCCAGGGAATYAGAGTCTCAACCCAGCTAGGCCTGCTGAGGGTCCAACCTCATCCAACAGGATGGAGACACAGGAAGGGGAAGTGTCCCCTTGGAAAATGTCACCCTCTCTCTTCCCTACCAGATTTTCTCTTGAGCCCCCTGCCCTTTTAACCTCCCCACAGCTCTTACTTTCTAATTCTTTTTTGTTGTTGTTGTTTAAAGAGAGAGAGAGAAAGAGAGAGAGAGAGAGAGAGAGAGAGAGAGAGAGAGAGTTTTTAAATATTTACTTTTTATTTTTTTTAGTTTTCGGTGGACACATTTTTATTTTATTTGTATGTGGTGCTGAGGATCGAACCCAGTGCCCCGCGCATGCCCGGCGAGCGCACTACCGCTTGAGCCACATCCCCAGCCCTACTTTCTAATTCTTTAATCACTTTCAAGAAGCAGGAAGCAGCAAGACTGGTACTTGGTTGGAGAGTGGCAGCAAGAGACCACARCAAGCATAGCGTGGCTGATCTTCTTTTGGATTTCTTGTTTTTGTTTTCAATTTGCTGAGTACACTGGTTCATCTCATTTCTGTTCAGCTTTCATTTACCGAGGATTTGCTATGGACAAAGTTTTGTGTCAAGTGCTTTACCTGAATCATTTAATAGGCACTAAAAACTCAGTGGAATCTGATTCTGTTTTCTAGATGACTCAACAATAGAGCAGTTATGCATCTTTTTGCTTAACAAATATAACATTCCGTGAGTCTATCACTCCAATTGGGACTACCAGGATCCATCAAATCAACATGTCTATATGTATGTATCTACATATCTATTAATAAAAATTAYCCCAAATATGGTTGGCTCCCAAAGAGAAAGAAATGAATCATATTCTTTTCTGCAGAATCTGACTCTTCTTGTCTTTGGATATGTGAACACATATAGATACAAAGGGCTTAATAAATACTTCTTCTATGGAGACACATTTAGGTAGCTCTCATCTCACCTACAGTTACTAAAATATTCTGTTTTATGGAAATAGTGAGCAATTGGAATGAGTTGCTGGCAAGTCACTTTGTGTCTGCTACTATTGTTTATAGCACTTTCATGTCTATGGATATGTAACTGCATGATTGGTTTCCACATGCAGAATTATCTGTTCATATATTTTCATATATTTTAGTCTGCAAATACCTAACTAATGAGCACCTGCACCTGAACCCATTACAAAAATCATGCCTCTGAATGGCTTAAATAATAGCATCCAATTCAGAGGCATTGCCAGCCAAGCATGGAATTTTCAAATGCAGCCAAATGAACCAATGTTGCTTCTCCAGTGCCGCCATACAATCTCCTTCACTTTCAAGTCTAAACCTTTCATGCTGTACATATCACCTGCCTTTTAGTTGAAAAATCAAGACAGGAAAGTCTTCCTAGAAAATAAATTAAGTCATGATATAGGTGGTATCTTCATAAATGAACACCTTGGAAGAAAGAGAGTCCATCTGTGGCTCCGAGTGTTTAAATCAACTTCCAATTCCATGGTTTTGGTCAAGAGTTCTTCCCTTCAATTCCTTATTTCCTTTCTTCCTCTCATCCTCCCTCCCACCTTCCTTTTTTCTTTTGTAAACTGTCCATCTATATATGGAGACAATAAAAAAAAAAAAAAACTTCCCAAATTTTGGTTGGCAGTTTCCTCATTGGTTGCTTGCAACATCTAACTATTCTTCTCTTTGAAACTGTGGACAAATACAGATACAAGGGGCTTAATAAATACTTCTTTCATGGAGCCACATGACCACTAACTCACATATGCACATACAATGCAAACACATTCTCCCTGACTCTACCTTTCACCTCTACAACGTTTGTGCAATAGTCACATTCTTCTAAAAAAGAGAAATTATTGCTGCTTGTCTACTACCATCCAATTAGGATATATATGTATGTATATATATACACACACACACACACACATTATATATGTATGCATACAGGTACTTGTATGTACATGTATACATATATATATATATATATATATATAATTATACATATAATTATACACACACACATATACTACACACACACAAATATCTATCTCCATTCAAGAAATACTCTAGTCAAGAAAAATAGTGACATGTAATCTCAGCAAATTGAGAGCCTGAGGCAGGAGGATTGTGAGTTCAAAGCCAGCCTCAGCAAATTAGCAAGGCACTTAGCAACTCAGCAAGAAACTGTCTCTAAGTTAAAATATAAAAAAAGGACTGAAGATGTGGCTCAGTGGTTAAATACCCCTGGGTTCAATCCCTGGTACCCCCTCAAAAAGAAGGAAAAATAGTGCATTTTGACAACTGATATACCATATAATAGAGGCAATGTGAAAATAAATCTCAAACACTTTGCATTAAGTGTTCATAATGAAAATATTTTAGTTTACTATAGACCAACAGGATTTTTGGGTCCCCAAGTGCCAACATAGGGGTGCTTAAATCCCTGATGATTTGCAAACCTTCTAGGAGAAAGACCATGATTTTCTACAGGCGAGACTTCCCTGGTATACCTATATAGAAAGTGATGTGACTGATACCACCCATCTTAAAAAGGTGTGGGGAAATGCTGAAAATTCCATTTTCCTCATTCTACAGTTATTTATTACAGTGGTCAACTCTTCCCCATGGAGTGAGAGAGAACTTGCCACACAGAAAAGTTCCACTGTGAGATCTCATTTGAGACCTTCTTTCCCTCTGAGCTTGGGCAAACAYGACACCACCAGAAATTGTTTGCTGATTTTCCTGAAGGCTTTCTCAGACCTGCTTCTGGAGGTAAGACTTCTTTAAGAGCCCATCAGTACAGATGTTTCACTTAATTGCTGGGAAGTGCCCAAATCCAAATTATAATCATTCCACTAGGATAGAGATGCCCCCCGAGGCTGCACAGTATCTAATGCTATAACTGTTTTAGCCAAGTGCCAAGAGCCTGATGCCTCATTTACATCATGGCTTYGGAATCTCTGCTGATAACACTGAAAACAAAGATGACCACCATTCAAACAGCCTTGTTACTGGAGCACACAGAAGCCCCCATGACCTAGAACCTTTAAAGTGTTGATAGCTTTAGAAAAGCTATTAAATTCCACACACAATATGATGGTAATCCTTAAAAACAACAACAACCAAAAAGAAACGAAGGCATTTTATAGCTAAACAATTTTATTGGCTTTTTTTTTTTGTGAAATAAAAAACATGAAACAAACCACCGTGGTTAAAGGCCATAATCAGCATCAACCAAATGAACCAGCCACTTGGTTACAGCAGCTGATAACAACACTAGTGGATATTATTGCTTATACCCCATGTTCATTTATATGTCCATTACATTTTGGCAAGATTACAATCAAATGGGAGCTTTGGTTGTACAAATTCAACTATGACTACTCACTGAAAACGCAATCTCTATCATTTTATAATGGGATACATGCCAATTCTTCCTGAGTCTTGACATTTATCCTCTCAGTCCATCTTCTTTCTGCTTCCCTTAATGATTTATAACCCCATTAAAAAAAAAATCAAGGGGGATGCATTTATCACCATCCCTACTCCACTGCCCCCTGTTGTCAGAGAGGGTGCTGCACTTTTGGGCAAGCTCTTGCATCTAATGTGTTTCCACTGTCAAGAATAAACACCCACCTGTAACACAGGTTCCCAAATGCATACGGTTGTCCACATTGGGATTTGGACTCAGCTGTTTATTTCATTTTACGAAAAACTAGAAAAAAAAAATAAAATCAACAGCCCTTAACATCAATAAGTTGACCTCCTAAAAGGATGAGCCCCAGGTCCTGCCCACACAATTTTATAATGTCTCGCCCAGCAGGCACGGAGATGTGGTGGTGTGTGTGTGTGTGTGTGTGTGTGTGTGTAACATTTTAATTCACAGAGAAGCAATGACCAGATGCCTCTTGAAAGCTCCCCCCCCTCCCCGCTCTACCATTTTCTATTTTAACACTGAAAACTCAGAAGGACCAAGGGTCAGAACTAACTCACAATAGCACCATTTCCTAGACTCTTGGGATTAGATTCCTTTCTGGTTGGAGAAGGCAGGGACCTAGCCTCCAGCTCCATGCTTTCACAGGCCCTGCTGAATTTCAGCAGGAGTGGGTGGTTTGCCTTAGCCTACTTCTGCAGCAACATGAATTTTTCCCTGGGAAGAGTTAAAAATATATGCCTTACAAAATGAAGTTGGTTGGCCACAGGTGAGAGACCTGAGGAAGACGGTTTTCCGGTGGTGAGATGTGACAAACCTGTAGATGGTGGGATGAGTCTGGGGAAATTTTCCCCCACCCATCTCAATTCAAGTCAGAGGAGAGTCTGATGCAGAAGCACGGCAAGATCAAGGAATAYTGGGAGACATAACCTAATATAGCAATCCAAACACCAATGCTCTAATGGTAGCTTATGTGTTTAGGTCCACCAGTGAGTCTGCCCTGGATAATGCTGGGATTTAATGAGCCCTTCTAATGATTATAAAGATTATCCTCTTGAATCTAGACATTTTAAACAACAGAATATTTGCTATCACTATATTTTACATGGCACATATAACCATATRATTACTAGCACTTACACAGCAAATATTGTAAATACACATTCTTGGAGTCGAGTTGGTAATTATACCGATGTTATTCAGAAGAACAAAAATTAAGCACTTTCAACTTGCACTTTGGGGGACTTCAGTCCAACCCTTTACTTCACAGCAAAAGGATAACCCTTTAATTATGTAATAATGCTTGGCAGTCATATGGGCCAAGAGAATCACAGGGCGACGTCATGGTCAAATTTGTGGCCTGTAAAATAAAGTAATACACAGTATTCTCGTTTCAACAAAATACAAGAGACCATATAAAAATATTTTCCAATTTGGAATCTGAAACATGAAAGCTGGATTTTTTTTTCTTTGTATAAAAAAGAAACAAAGTAACAGACTAAAGTTTATTAAGCCTCCAAAAAAAAAAAAAAATAGATATATACGTATCAGTTTAAGGAATGCAGTGAGAGAGGAGTCAGCTTCCCTTTTTGTCCAGGCTCATTGATGGTGAGCTTGTGCTTTGATCCTAACAAAGATAAATGCACAAAAGTGGAGGAAGGTCAGTGCCTGAAACCTGAACTACATCGCATCTCTAATAAGACGACTAACTTTACAGTAGTGCTTTTAAAAGTGGTGTATCAGATTACTGATTGTTTTTTTTTTCTGTTCCTCTTCAGGCAACTGCTGGAGATGAATTCCAGAAGCACCACTTTCGTCTTGAGTGATGTTTATTTAGTGCAATGTCTTCCTTCTCTCGTTCCCTTTTCACACGCTGGTAGTGGTCTTCCTCCTTCAGGTACCACACAGGGGGCCAGCGGTGCCGCTCAAAGTACTCCTGATTGTCTGGTGAAGGAAAGACGCTGATGGTTACTCCCGCTGTCCACTAATTGTGCCTGGTGCTTCAGATATMCTCTCCATAGCCTGATGTGGCGGAGACTATGAGTAGCACCATCTGAAGATGGTGACACTAGAGTTTAGAGAGGTAGACTCTCTTGCCGACAAGTCCTGCAGCTGAGCACAGAGAAACCTGAACCATTTGATTTTAGAGTCTAAGCTAGCTCCCAGGACCAGCCTCCCTAGACAAGGGGGAACCAACAACCTTGGTGCAGCATGGGACCCTGAACTCCAGTCCACCTGAGTCCCCCATACAAGTCATTCTCCAAAGAGAATCCCCAGACTACCAGGCAAGGACTTCTCCATGAGATRAGTGAGCTCCCTTCCACTACATGGAAGGTACTAGCTACTTTATTCAGGTGGGGAGAACTGGATGAAGGGGGACCTCCCACGGTCTTACCTGCAGATTTTGATTTGATTTCTTTGCGGAACTTGGAACAAACACTGTTGTAGTTGGTGCAGATGTGATGCAAACACCAGGCGGCCAACTGGTTGGCATTGTGAAACTGCAGAAAAGTGACCAAAATGGGGATCAGATTCTTATTTTCTAAAGTGAGGAGGCTACAGAGAAATTGGAAGCCATCATAAGGGAGGAAAGAAATGCAGGGCCCACAGAACTGATTCAGGAAAGCTCCTGTTTTGACCTCCATGTTTTGACTTTGGCCATGGCTCTGATGCCCGCTAAGGATAGTGTTTGGCACACCCTCCTTCACCCCCACCGTGATAGAGACGCCCAAAATAATCACTGTATCACATCGTTTTTAAAACAGGCCTTGCCCTTTTGCCCTCCTCCCGCCACCTGGCCTCTAATGATGAATGGCCCTGCCCTCTGGAAGGCACCAGCCAGCAGCAGAGAGCAGCGATGTCACCTCTGTTTAAGGAAGCCTCCGCAACAGAATACTCCGTGTCACATGTCAGAGCTCAGCTTGCTGGGGCCAAAGATCAGAAAGACGAGACTGTGGAATGCGTGACTGTCCTATACCTGTCCTCTGGTTACGTAAGAGGAGCAAGCAGTCTGGGCAGGGTGGGAGGGGGACAACTACTCCATCTTTTTATTCTGAGCAGATGCTCAGGGAGGTAGCAGCTGGGGTAGCAATGACTGCAAAAGATCTGATGCTCAAAAAACTAACGGCCATGGGGCTGGGGATGTAGCTCAGTGGTAGAGCACTTGCCTCGCACCTGTAAGGCACTGGGTTCGATCCTCAGCACCACATAAACATAAATAAATAAAGGTACTGTGTCCATCTACAACTAAAAAAATTAAAAAAAAAACAAACCAGCAGCCAACTCTCCCCCTTATCCTATTACATACAGCATGGCTCCCCTCGACCTGCCCCTCATGCAGATGTTTTATTGGCCATAGAGACCTGAACCCCTGTGGCTTGTACCTCCACTAAGAAGGACAATAGAAAAGCCCAAGTTCTCAGAAACCTTCTCAAGAGACTGAAAATCACAACTCCAAACATTGGAGAGAGTATGACGTTGATACCTCCAGCTTCTCTTCTATGTTCAATTTCTCTCTGAAAATGATCGGTAGTGGTGAGCCAGGTTGGCAAGTGCCAGCTCCAGAGAGCCAGCTGATGGTCTAAATTTCTTTCCTGCTCTGAGTCCAGTGACTTCATATTACTACATCCAGTTGCAGTGGGAGCACGTACACCACAGAAGTTGGAAAAGGCAACAGATCAGGGACCCACTTGCCCCCAAGGGTAAATGTTAAGCTCTTTCCAGCTCTTTACTAGGTTAAGATTGAACAAACCAGCTAAGGAGACTCCATCCTAAACTCTTTCTGCCAAGGGCTTAGCATAATCAGATTTCCTTGCAGGATGTGTGTATGTGTGTGTGGGAAGGGTGGTAGGGGGAGGGGATGGGCTGGGGACACTGAGCAAACAGACATAAGTGCAAATTATGACCTCAAGTGAACTGGTCCTACATGAAATTCTGAGTCATTTCATTTTTCCCTAGGAAGGACACTTACTGAATAGAGCACAAGTCTTAAACTGTCAACCAAATGGGGAATGTTTCAAAAGACCCCCAAATTTCAAACCATGGTAGGGGGCTTACTGATTCTACCATCACAGATGTCTGTCTTAGGTTTGGATTGTTGTTTATGTTGGATGTAATAATCTGGATTCATGGCTGTTTCTCTCACTTGCCTATGATTGCCCCGAAGGCAGGGAACCTACTGTTTGTAATGTGTACACCCTCAGCCCAGGATGGTGCTTGGTACTCGGAGAGAAAATAACAAGTATTTGTTGAATGCTAAGTCAGAGTGAGTAGGCTGTCCTAAGTCCTGTTCCACCTTCTAACACTTTGAACCTGAGCTATCTCCTGTGGCCACAGCTGAAGGGCCTGAGCGACACCTGCCATATTGCACCTTCTCTTCTTGAAACCATCTCCTCTCCCTCAATCAATTAAATTACTCAATTTAAATACTGGTTTAAATTGCCTGACTTCAGACTTATTAAGCCACTGCCCTAAGACAGAGAGTAAGAGAGTGAGAGTGAGCACACAGAAAGCCAAACACAAGCAGAAAGACGGTAGAACTTATTCATTCCTTCAGTGGAAAACTCATTGTCAATCAGTCCAAGCCAGGGACTAGCATTCTGCCCATGTGCCTTTCCTCATGAGAGGGCTCCCATTCTCCAGGGCTCTTTCTACGTTCTCTTCCACCTAATTCTCAATGATCTGTAAGGGAGTGAGGTTGTGAATTGCCATCCACACTATTCTTGGAGTAGAGGATACTGAGGCAGATTAGCTTCGTGCCTTAGAGAAGTTGTGGTTGATAAAGCTGAAGGTGGCTCTTGGTCTTCTCTGGAGGAAGAATGCAAGTATGTACTGGGATTATGGATATTGATGTTAATAAGTACTGATTTTAGAAAACCCCAGGAGAGCTTCAGGGAGCTGTTCATTAATGTGTGTGTGTGTGTGTGTGTGTGTGTGTGTGTGGGCATTATAGGGCTTCATGGGATTTTAGAAACTGTGCAAGAATTCAAAGAAGGGAGACAAAACCTCCCCCTATCTTGTTCCAGAGGTTCTCCCACATGTGAAGACAGTGCCTTAGGGGACAATGGGACTGGTGTGGGGGTGGGGTCCTTGTTGTTTTATCAAAGGAAGCCCAGCAGGCTGAATGGTGCCTTGAAATGTAAAACTCTCAGATCTTCTCCATGTACACAGGGGGCCTCTGTGACTCAGTGGTGACATCTTTATTTAGACAGATGCAAGAGTGGAATGTTTTATCAGCATTAAATGAACGGACTGAACACACTTAAGAGGTGAAAAGCAAACTGTAACAAACCTGGGCCAGTTCCAAATAGGAGAGCACTTCCCCATCAATGCCCACGCCACTCATGGCGGCCTTGGTCAGCTCCTGAACGGCGTGCTGCTCTGGGGAAGAGAGAGAGGGCCAAAGAACGTTAAAACTGTGTTCTGCAAGCCAGACACCTTGCCTGAAGGGGCTGGGCTGGGACCAGTTAAGAAGGGAGGAAATATGGGACACGGCTCTGGGCAGCCATCCAAACTGACCAGGATTCTTTTAATATGCAGCACTCTGGCATCCAACCATTCCGCCAACATCCCTGTCGTGTTTGTGCTTCTGAATTAGCCAGAATCCTCTAGACCCGCTCTGTCTTATCCAGGATGGTAACCACTGGCCATATCAGACTATTTAAACTTAAATTAATTACAATTAAATGAGAAGTTCAGTTCCTCATTCACACTGGGCACATGAAACACTCAACGTGCTCAAAGCATTGAACAGCGTAGGGTTAGAACATTTCCATCACTGTGAGACGGTTCTCCTGGACAGAATGGTTCTAAATAGTCTATCATCTTTCTAGAATCCTCTAGGCCATTCCTAGCATCAACGTTCCTGTTTGACAGTTTCTGCGCTGACACGGCTCTCATTCTCAATAAGCTCTGACAGTGAAGAAACTGAAGGGCAGGAAAAATAAGTCTATGTGGGGAATTAAAGATGTGGATGCATGTGTCTGTATCAATAGCTATAGATGGACAATGTATTCTTCAGCCTCTTGGATTATAAAGATGAGGGAACCGGAGTCAGAAGAAACAAAAAACCCAAGTTGGGAGGGTCATGTTTGCTTGGGAGCTTATGTCCAAATCTTGTAAGCCAAATTTAAATTGGTGTCTGGGTTCGGCTGTTTCTTGCCTCTGTTTGGGCTGTCTGTGGCCTCTGGGGTTGATGTGTGTGACCAGGCTTGGCCCAGTATTTCTAGCTCTTTGATGTTGATGTCTTCTCAGGCATTGTACTTGCTCTTCTAGCCCAATATATAGACAGATCTCATTTTATTGCACTTCACAGAACTTATGTTTTTTACAAATTGAAGGTTTGGAGCAACCCTGTGTTGAGTGAGTCTACTGGAGACATTTTCCCAACAGCTTGTGCTCACTCTGTGTCTCTGTGTCACATTTTGATAATTCTCAAAATATTTAAAACCTTTTTATCATTATTATATATGTGTGTACATATGTATGTGTGTGTATATATAAATCTCATAATAATATACATTATATATGTATGTACATGTGTATATGTGTGTATATATAAAATTATTATTATTATTTTTTGGTACGGGGTTTGAACCCAGGGTCACTTAATCACTAAGCTACATCCCCAGCCCTTTTAAAAAATGTTTTATTTAGATACAGGGTCTTGCTAAGTTGCTTAGGGTCTTGCTAAGTTACTGAGGGTGGCTTGTGATCTTTCTGCTTCAGCCTCCTGAGCTGATGGGATTACAGGCATGTGCCACAGTGCCTGACTATTACTGTATAAGTTTATGATGATCTTGGATAAATTATCTTTAATGTTACTATTGTAATTGTTTTGGGATGTCATAAATTGTGCCCATAGAAGATGATGAACTTAATAGACAAATATGTGTGTTCTGACTGTTCCACTGACTGATTATTCCTGCTTGATCTCTCTCCTTGGGTCTCCCTATTCCTTGAGACACAACAGTATTGAAATTATACCAATTAATAGGCTTATAATGACTTCTAAGTGTTCAAGGAAAGGAAGAGTCACACTCTTTAATTTATTGTTGTTGGTACTGGGGATTGAACCTAGGGGYACTTCATACAGTAATTTTTGAATTTTGAGACAGGGTCTACATTGCTGAGTCTGGTTCTCCAATTTGTGGTCCTCCTGCCTCTGCCTCCCGAGTCACTAGGATTACACTCCCAATTCCCCTCACTTTAAATCAAAAGCTAGGAATGGTTAAGTTTAGAGAGGAAGGCATGTCAAAAACCAAGAAAGGCTGAAAGCTAGYCTTCTTATACCAAACAGTCAAGTTGCGAATGCAAAAGAACAGTTCTTGAAGGACACTGCAAGTGCTACTCCAGGGAATTGATAAGTAAGATAGCCTTATTGCTGGATCTGGAGGAGTCTCAGCGGTCTGGAGAGAAGAGCCAACCAACCACAACATTCCCTAAGCCAAAGTAAGGTCGTAACTCTCTTCAATTCTATGAAGGCTGAGAGAGGTCAGGAAGTTGCAGAGAAACGTGAAGCTAGTGGAGGTTGGTTTATAGGATTAAAGGAAAGAAGACGGCTTGATAATGTAAGAGGGCAAGGTGAAGCAGCAAGCGGAGCACCTGCTGCTAATCATCCAGAAGATGTGGCTAGGACAATCGATGACTCTGAATAACAGGTTTGCAATGCAGACAGAGCAGCCTTTCACTGGAAGAAGATGCCATCTAGGGCTTCCATAGAGAGAAGAAGCCAATGCCGGGATACAAAGCTTCCAAGGACGGGGTGACTCTCTTATTAGAGGATAAAGCAGCTGGAGGATTTAAGATGAAGCCACTGCTCATTTGTCACTCTGAAAATCATAAGGCCCTTGGGAGTTACACTAAATATGCTCTGCCTCTGCTCCAGAAATGGGGCATCATCTGGATGACAGCACATCTGTTTACAATAGAATTTATTGTCTTTAGCCCACCGTTGAGACCTGCAGTTAAGAAAAAACAAGATTTCTTTCAAAATATTAGTGATCACTGGCAATACACCTCGTCACGAAAGAGCTCTAATACAGATGCTATTTTAGTCAGCTCTTTTACTGCTGTGACCCAAAGACCTGACAAGAACAATTAGAGGAGGAGAAGTTTATTTTGGCACTCCTGGTTTAAGAGGTCTCAGGCCATGGATAGCTAACTTCATTCCTCAGGGCTTGACGTGAGGCCTAATATCATGGCAAAGGGTGTGGCAGAGGAAAGCGGCTGGGGACATTGTGTCAGCAGGCAGAGATAGCTTTGCTCAACAAAGACAAAATATAAACCCCAAAGGCACACTCCCCAGGGACCCACCTGCTCTAGCCACCCTCTGACTGCCTAAAGTTACTACTCAATCCACTTTTCAGGACATTAATTTGCTGATTAGATGAAGGCTCTCATAACCCAATCATTTCATCTCTAAATCTTCTTGTATTGTCTCATGTGTGAGCTTTTGGGTACCTTACATCGAAAGCATAATAGATGTATAATGAGATTAATGCCATCTTCATGCCCCACACAACATTAAATTGGAAAACATTCTGGAAAGGATGTACCATTCTAGATGCCACTAAGAACATTCATGTTTCATGGTAAGAGGTCAAAAAAGCAACATTAACAGGAGTTTGCAAGAAGTTGATTCCAACCCTATGGATGATCTTGAGGAGTTCAAGACTTCAATGTACAAAGACACTGCAGATGGGGTAGAAATAACGAGAGGGCGAGAATGGGAACTTCTAAGAGAACTGCAGCCTGAGGATGTCACTGAATTATCACAATCTCATGACAGAACTTTAATGAATAAGAAGTTTCTTCTTAAAGATGAGCAAAGTGGCTTCTTGACAGAAACCTGCACCTGGTGAAAACACTGTGTGCATTGCTCAGACGAGAACAGATCCAGAATGTCACAACGACTTAGTGAGGAAGAGGCAGCAGGACTGGGAGCACTGACTCCACTTTCAAAAGAGATTCTACTGTGGGCGAATGCTATCAAATAGCGTCATAGGCTGCAGCCTACTCTTCTGTGAAAGGGTCAGTCGATGCAGCAAACTTCATGGCCATCTGGTTTTAAAAAGCCACCACAGCCACTTCAACCTTTAGCATCACCACCTTGATCAGCCAGTAGCCCTCAAAACTGAGGCAAGACTCTTCACCAGAAAAGAGATTACATCTGGCTGAAGGCTCAAGAGATTGTTAGCATTTTTTTTTTTAAGCAACAAAGCATTTTTTCATTGGGTATGCCTTTTTTTTTTTTAAGACATAACGTTCTTTCATACTTCATAGATTATAGTAGATTGTAAACATAACTAATATTCTCTGGGAAACCAAAGCTTCATGTGGCTCACTTTATTGTGATATTTGCTCTACCGTGGTGGTCTGGAACTGAACCTGCAACATGTCTGAGATACACCTGTATCGTACAACCCATGCTTACTTTGTGCTCTGGCTTCATGTACTCAGTGTGCCTCTATCTGGTCAGTTTGGCATCTGGAACTGAATGATTTCTTTGGCAAAACCCTCTTCAGCTGCACTGATAAACAAAACTATTTGGCACAAAATTTCCCAGAGAAGTCATCCGGGTTCTTTCATTTTAGATAACTGCAGCATTTCTTTTCTTTTGTTGCGGGGAGGTGGGGGCTACTGGGGATTGAACTCAGGGGTACTCAACCACTGAGCCACATCCCCAGTCCTATTTTGTATTTTATTTAGAAACAGGGTTTCACTGAGTTACTTAGCACCTCGATTTTGCTGAGGCTGGCTTCAAACTTGTGATCCTCCTGCCTCAGCCTCCCAAGCCACTGGGATTACAGGCGTGTGCCACTGCACTCGGCGAGCATTTCTTGATATTTATTTAACACTAGCTTGCAAAGCATTTCACCCTGGAAACTGAATTTTAAATACTCTGCAAAGATATTCTAGACACTCTAGAAAATACATGCCAAATACTATCAATGATTAAAGGAATCATCCTGGGGAAGCAATATATTAAATAATCACAACAGTAAAAACAACATTTAACAACAATACTAAATGTACATAGAAGTATGGAGTTCACACACAAAGTTTTCTCTGGATCATTTAAAAAAAATAGCTTTCATGGAGAAATCAATCCCGTGTTATCATTGCCAGTCCTAATATTTTAGCAAAAATGGCAATATTCCAGGACTCATCACAAACCTTGTTTGATGAATTTGACTCCAAATTACTTTTGGGCATTAAAAAAAATCAAATTCATCCTCAAAGGACAAATATTTGGAAAACCTGTGGAAAGTTACATGAAACTCATATTTCTGAAAAAAGGAGCCGCCCCCTGCAGCCTGCTGAAGTTAGTGTTTAAAAAGTTGTACACTCAGTTGGATCTATGGCTTTAGGTATATTAGTAAAAAACTCTTTTTAAACAAATCTAACAGCAATGCTTCAGCTCTCTATTTAATTGGGGGGAAGAAGTAGGGAAARGAGAGGGCTTTGATCTTCCGATGGTTTGTGTGTAGCAGAAACCTGGAGGACAGAAAAACTCATCTTTCCCATTTGAAGTCCTTGCCAGAAAGTGAAGTGTAGAGAGGGTGGGTTGGTTTATTCATTTGCTCATTTTTATTCACTCAATTATTCAAGAAATGTTTATTGAGAGCCTAATAGGCTCAGGCACTTTTCCATGTACAGGGGAAAGGCCAGTGAACAAGACAGGCACTGTCTGTCTCTGCTTTCATTCTTCATAAGAATAACCACAGTAATAAAAACCCAGTTTGCTAATTGACACCTCTGGGGAGCAAAGCAGAGGATTTAAATTTTAAAAAGTTGACAAAAGATATCTAAATGCATATATCCTATACAGACCTGCTTCAGTTTATCAACTAAGCGAAACTAGGAATTGTAGATAAGGTTCTTGAAGCTAAGCCAAACCTCCCCTTTTTCTTTTTTCCCAAAATGAACTTGACAATGTCAGAACATTTTCTGAAATAGCTATAAGAAAACCACTTACATAATGCTTACTAGGAGCCAGACACTGTTCTAAAGACTTTATATATTTTAACTCACTTAATCTTCACAATAACTCTAAGGTAGATAATATTATTCCTGCTTTAAAAGAGAGAAAGCTGAGCTACAGAACTAAGGTTCTATAAAGGACAAAGTCATTGGCCAGTAAATGGTGGAACCCAAATCAGAAACTAGGCAATTTGGCTCTGTAGTCTATACTTAGCCACTGCACCGACTGCCTCTTCCTTAAACACTGTGTCTGTGCACACATTATGATAGGATGTTGGTGACAGAATCTTTTTATTTCAAGTTCTGTGCCCACAAGTGACTCGGCATGCATAGAGCATGTGCCTCCAGGGCAGGGTCCTGAATTACCATTATATCTGTATCACCTAACAGGAACTAGCACAAAAACAGATGCTTAAAAAATATTTTTTGAACTGCTGATACATTTGATCAATTCATATCACGGATATAAAACAGTCCTATTTGGGGGAATAAAAAAATACCTTTTTTATTCCCTGGAGCTCTTATTTTAAATGTGATCTTCAAGAATACGACAGACCCTGTGCAAAGTCATCAGCCTTACCTGCAAGTGCAACCAAGTGTGGCAGGCAGAATCTGTTTGCCAAGGCAATTAGTTCCAGCGGATCCAGGTCCAAGTTAGGCGACAACTGCTTGGTATAGAGATAATCCAATACAGCTTGCATTGACATCTTGTTTATGTTTGGGAGATGTACCTGAAATGTTACAGGAAACACTCAATTCTGCTGGAGAAATCAGGGAGTAGGCTCATTTTCAGGCTATGGGCTTATAAATATCCCAACTGTGGGATTCGATACTGCCAAGTCTCAGATACCTGCTTTGAGGCTGTGCGTAGAAATCATTCAGTATTTATGGCTTTAAACATAACGGTTTGATTTGTAGTTGACAAAAGGGTAGAGCTGTTTGACAAAGTCTGATTTGGAATTTTTAAATGGCTATTCAGATGCATAAATCAGACAAATGGGCTGCAAACGTGTGGTGACATTATGGGCCCTCCTTGGCAGGTACTGATAATACTCTACTGTGGGAGAAAGAAATCTAGAAACACGACAGGTGTTGGGTGGAGGGGGCGCAAGCCACACTGTTGCCGACACAGGAGAGCACCTGCTCTCTAAGATGTTGAGAGAGATGACAACCATCCCGGTTGCCACAGTGACTGGCTTGATTCTGATGTTCTATCCATATGTGTTAGCGCCATATATATGCTTTATTATTTTTTCCTACAACCACTTGGATTCAGAACTACTGGAACATTATTGGGTCTCAGGTGATTTGGAAAATCCAAAGGAATCCCTGCTGGGACATCTACGGGGAGTGGTTGATGGGGTCTGATGTACAGTCCTCTTGTCAAGATACCTGGAATTGTCCATATAAATATATGCTGGAGTTTGCTGCCTGGAGGTTCAGTTTGAGACAGGTGGGCAAGGATGGAGAGGGATATACTCTCTTAAGCGGCTACTCTTTATTCCAGGTCCCCAACCAACTCCATGAGACCGACCCTGGCATGGTACATAGTAGTGCCACTAGCTTTTCCTACTGGAATGTTGATGATTACAAAAATTAACCTTTCTAGAAGGCCTCCTATACACCAGTCATTTTTGCTAAGCTTTCTACATAAACCATCCAATTTGCTTTTTATCTCCACTCTAGGAGGAAGAGACATTATTTTTACCAGTTTACAGAAAAGGAAACTGAGGTTCAGGGAGGTTAAAGCTTAGGTCCAAGGTCACAGAGCTATTAAGTAGGGACTGGGATTTAAACTCAGGAGTATCATTCTTCTAAAGACTGTTTTTCTAATTACTGTGCAGTATTCAAAGCCATTAACAGCAAGGAAGTAAAGGTTTGGGTTATAGAACAATAATGTGCTGCATTTCACAAATAGTTTTTAAGAATTACATTTCTAATTTAAAAGGATAACAGTTATAAATTTCCTAATTCTGGTACTTAAACCTGTAGACAGTATATAAAGATATAAAGATCTATATCTAAATATGATTACATCCATATAAAACATGATTATATCTATATAGTACACATAACTACACCTCCCCCATATATATTTATTTCTCTCTACACACACACACACACACACACACACACACACACACACATATCTTCGGCATTCTACAAGGAGCTCATGGTCTATGGTTCCAGAATTAAGCCATAAAAACTTCCCATATTATTCTCCTTTGTAGTCACCAGCCACCTCAGAGGGAGCATATATTTTCAGCAGGTAGAGTCATTCTTTATTATATTATATGGAAGGACTAGAAAAATTCTTGGAAATATTGAGAAATCTACACTCCCCTTTGAGACACAGCCAGTGAAAACCATATTTATGATTCCATAAATAAGCTGCATGGGTCATTATAATCAAGTTTCTTTCTTTGTTTTTTTTTTTTTTTTTTTGTTACCGGGGATTGAACTCAGGGGTGCTTAACCACTGAGCCACATCCTCAGCTCATTTTTTTATATTTTATTTATATTTAGAGATAGGGTCTCACTAAGTTGCTTAGGACCTTGCTAAATTGCTGAGGCTGGATTTGAACTCGTGATCGTCCTGAGTCAGTCTCCCTAGCAACTGGGATTACAGGTGTGCACTATTGTGCCCAGCTCATTTCAAGTTTCTAGCACATCATATATAATAGAMTTTGATTAATAAAAACTCTTATTGACATTATTATCTTAAAGCCATACACATACACATGTGAAATATTCAGATGTTGGGATGTTAGTTATTCCTCTCTTCAACCAGTTGCACCTGAATATAAATATCAATTGCCATTTGAGTGAGTCTAATACTGGCTGTACTTGTGTGTATGCTTACATACACATGTATTGATATGCACATGCATTTGTCTTATACAGATAACAAAGTTCCTTATGGGTGCTCGCACAAACTTGTTTCTGTGTATATGTAAACAGCAAAATTTCATTACTCTAGAATGATGTTTGGATTAGTGGTTTTCTAGATATTTGAAGATTAAGTTGTGAAGCTTTTAAGATTTGAATTTTTTTGTAATCAAAGTATCCATATTTTACAAAGTGCTAAGTGCCATATTACTAATTGTTAATACAAGCTGCAGAGCTTCTRCTCGCTCATGTACAGGGACGTCTGTTGCCTCTGAAAAGAATGCCTGAAGGGACAGAGTAAGAGTCTGGGGCAGGCCCAGGCATATGCTACTAAAATACTGTGCAATCTTTGATAAATCACTTACCCTCTCTGACTTTCAGTTTCCTCATCTCATATGGGAGGAATCTGGAATAGATTTTTAAAAAGTTTCTTCTTTATTGACACTCAGTTTTGAAAATATTTAAATTGTCTTAGCACTGTTTGCTAAGACTGTGTTCTCTAAATCATTCCTTAAAGAAAAAAAAATGCCCATTGGAAATACAAATACGAAAATGGACATCTTAAGTTAAAAGACGTTATTTTGGGCCACAGGAGATGACAGATTCCAGCGAGCAGCACTGCCCCACTCCTGCCTGTGTCCTCTGAGCATTCTGATGTTTATAATCACCCATGCCTGCTGTTTCCTTTTTGCTTAATATGACGTTAACAAGTTTTGAAGTGATGATTCTTTTGGGCAAATAATGTTAGGGACCCTTAGAAATAACCATCAAATGAAAATAAAAACACTTTCAGAACGTGCATTTTTTTTTCCTCTAGTGGTTGATTTTTTAAAAACAAAGCCTGTTCTGTGACTTCCATATTTATAATTAATTGTGTAACAACCTTTGATAGCACTTTAAAAATAATATACATAAAGCTACAGAAGAAATTGAATACAAAGTTTTAGATCCTACTGGCTGAATGTTGCTTAAAGAAAAAAAATGACTAATGAGGGGGCTGGGATTGTGGCTCAATGGTAGAGTGCTCGCCTTGCATGGAGGAGACCCTGGGTTCAATCCTCAGCACCACAGAAAAATAAATAAATAAAGGTTTTGTGTCCATCTACAACTAAACATTTTWAAAAAGTGAGTAATGAAAGAGAATATGCCATCCTAAACAATGTTGCATATTCTAGTTCAGTTGGTTTAAAATTTTAATTGTGAAGATTAGCTCAGACCATTAGGCTTATAATTAGAGATCGTCTCATACAGAATGAGAAAGCATTCTAGATCTAGAGCACTGCTTACTACAAGCCGGGCATGCATTTTTAATGAACCACTTGCTGAGTACCTCGGGGGAGAGAATTATGCTTACTGCTACATTAAAAGTAATGAGAAAAGATCTATGTAAGATAYAGTGTTCTTGAATATTAAAGGACAAAAATGTTAAAGCAACAACAGGCATAATTCCTTCTGGATATGCATGTGCATTCTATTAATTCTCCCCCCTCTCACCAAATAGGCTGAACTTCATGGGGGAAGTCAGATTACCACAAGACAATCAACAGTTAAATGATGACCTAGGAAGACCAAATCCCAAGTGTGAAAACCAAGCCCCAGTGTGAAGACAGGAGAAATCAATTGTGGGGTATTTACAAGCCTTTGACCAAGTGCCTCTTCCCTTCACCTAGGACCACCGMCATCTTGCTTCTTAGTTTAGAAAGGGAACTGGGGGCATTTTAACTGATGTCTCTCAGGGCACAAAGATCTTCGCCCCCTCATGGAAAGAACTTAACAAGAATACTCTGGGATAACAGTCTCTGACATTKGTTGGGCATTTACACATTCTAGGTGTCACATTTGAGACATTACACATGCATTCTCTGACTTTATTTACACTCTGAAGAAGGTTCTCTTGTCATCCCCATTTTATAGATGGAGGAAACAGGTTTAGAGAAGGTTGGTCACTAGTCCCAAGGTCAAACTGGGACTAGAGTTCATAACTACTAAATGATAGTGTATGCTGGAAATAAAAGAAAGAGGGCAGGAAAGGGTAGAAATGGGTTTCTAGTGTACTGGCTAATGGAATTTTGGCGGACTTTTGGTGACTTGGTTCCATGGCCTTTATTTTTTGAGCTGGTTTCAATCTACACATACAGATTAACCTCAGCTGCCATTCTCAGAGTTAAGTGACTTGGTCTTTCTGGAGGGTGTGCTAGGCAGGTGGCCACCTCTAGTGCAGCTATTAACTACCCTGTAATATGTGTGCGTTCACGCTTGCTGCCAAGGTTTTGTTTTGGTCACCTCTTGCACATTCTAATCTGGAGAAGATTACAGTCCATTCTGTGAAGGGATAAAGGGGATTAGCATTCGTGAGGTCAGCTCAGACAGCGTCCCTTTGTGCCTGGGTTCCTGACCTTGATCAACTCTTCTCTGCTCAGTTAATAGCAGGCTCTTTGCTGCACAATCAGCACACATTTGAGTGAGCTAGGAAAATAAGGGGAGCAGGCCTCTGAGCTCTTTATTTCTGGAGATTACTGAAGTCAGTAAAATGCCAATTGGATGAGGTTTCACTAATTGGTGGCCCCCCTGAATTTTTCTTTGAAGTAAAGGATACCATCATCATCACAATAAGACTGGTGGCAGCTGCTCTTTGCTTATGCCGCTTAGGAAGTGCTTTGTAAGGGTTGATTCTCACACCTCACAACCACAGTATGGTGTTATTATTGAAAGACTGGAGCTCAGAAAGGTAAGTCACTTGTCTGAGGCCACCCAGCTTGTAAGTGAAAGAGTTATGATCTGGGCCCCATAGTCCCTTAATGATGCAGGCTCCATCATACAGCAGTAAGCTTTTTGTTGGTGCTGGGGATTGAACCCATGGCCTTGTGCATGCAAAGACAAACACTCTACCAATTGAGCCATATCCCCACCTCCACACTGCAGCAGTCTTGGTAAAAGGCTCACACATGTTTGATCCCTCAGGAGAGACTTGGATTAGTTACAAGGGAGCACCTTCTGATTTATAAAGGCTGGGAGGTACTCAGAGGAAGGTAGTGGGACAATCCTGATGTCTTTTTCCCAAGCAGCAGATGGTGGTTTAGGAGCAGCTGCAGTTTGTTCTGGAAGCAGGGGTGTTGGCCTAGTGACCTTCTCAGTCCCAGCCATCCCAGGCTTGTGATTCTAGGATTCTGTTCCCTACTTGGGGATGCAAATGCAGGCTCCTGGGTCATAATGGGAGTGCTCAGATTTCTCCTGTGAGCACCCTTTTTGAAAAGTTAGCTATTGTTTTCTGTATTTCTTCTGAAAGTTTGGAGATGTGCTGAGATAAGCAAAACAAGTCCTGGGGTGTCCCCATGTTTTTTTTTTAAAGATTCTAAAAAATAATTGCAAAACTCAACAAAAATGCTTGTTCATTCTGGACTAAAGTTAGAAGGGCTTGAATGGAATTTCCCACCTCCCCCAAGGGAATCTGTAAAAGAATAAAGACAGCGCCTCTGAAATATTGCTTGCTTTGTTCTAAGAATGTCCTTCTTTTGGTGCTATATGATCCAGCAGCTTCCACTAGACCTATGCACTCTGAGAAGTGGATTCATTCCGAGGAGTGACCGTTTGCTACAATGCAGTTSACAAACCCTCCTACCCCTTCTGCAAGGACAGAGAAGGAAGGAAAGAGCTGTGGAGTGCTGTAGGTTATGGCCACTTCATTCCTTACCTGCAGGCAAGGAGCCTGAGGCCCAGGTTGAGGTTTCTTAAGGTCCCCCAGCTGGTTAAGGGCAGAACAGGACTTGGGACTTACTTAAGTGAAGAACTCTTCACTTTCCTGAACTTCTAGACATCAGGTTCTGCCCCTCTTAATACTTGATTTTGATAGTACTTTGGTGACATTTGTTAAAAAGGAATAGCTGACCATGTCTTCACCGTCAAGGACAGGTGTGAGGATGAAAGGCTGAATTACACATGTAGGTGCTCGAACATGAGATGAATCACCCACAGGACCTCCTGACTGTAGAATTAGAAAAGGGTGGCTTCACCCTGTCTATTTCACGGAAGCAGTTAAAGACTGAAGTCATCTGGATACTTCAACATTTTAGGTAAGCACACGTGCACACACACTCACAAGACACCACTTGGGCTGGAGGAAGGCACATACCTCACTGTTGGCGCTTTCTACAAACGAACCCCCAAACATGGCAGCCATCCACTCGCAGCTACAGATAAGCAATGGCTTGTGGGCACTGATGGCTCCATCATCCAAGGTAAAGGTCACATCTGCCAAAGGATGGAGGGAACACAATGATGAGCTGGCTCTGCCCAAAGCTCGGAGTCTTCTGTTCCAACCATGTCCACCAACCGGTATCCCTCTCGCTGGCTCTTCTGTGGGTACTCACTGATTCCACGTTAACCTCCACTTTTGGYACACCCAATTTTCACAATAAGGAACAAGCATTTAAAATAACATAYAAGGTCACAACACAGATTTTCTGAACCATATAGTAACAAAAAAAGGAAAGGGATATTTTCCCTCCTCCTCCTCATGAAAAACTTCAAACATATACAACAAGGCAAAGAATAATATAAGTTGAGTATTCCTTGAACTAGAATGTTTGGGAGGATATGTGTTTCAGATTTTGGATTTGTTCAGGTTTTGGGATATCTGAATATATATAGTGAATATCCTGATGATGAAACCCAAGTTTGAATACGAAATTCATATGTTTCATATATGCCTTATGTGCATAATCTGAAAATAATTTTTTACAATATTTTTAGTAGCCCTGCATTTTGACTGTGACCTGTCATGTGGGGGACAGATATGGAACTGTTCACTTTGTCGGCAATCAAGCAGTTGAGATCTTGAAGCATTTCAGATTTCAGGTTAGGGTTGTTCAACCTGTACAACAATTACTCATTTACCTATTGTTAACATCTTGCCACGTTTWTTTTTTTTTTTAACAGATAATGATACTTTCATTCCTAACCACTTTATCATGAATATTCTAAAAATAAGAACATTCTCCTAAAAAAATCTCATTATTCCACCTAAGAAAATTAAAAATAATTTCTTGATGTCATCCACTGTCTAGTTCATATTCAAATTTCTTTAATTATTCTTAAGTTGTTTTTCATAATTTTTTTAAAAATGGGAGCCTCCTAGTGAGTCTCCCACCCCTCATTTGGTTTTGTCTCTGCAGTAAGGGGAGGGTGATTCAATCAACTTTAGTTTAACTTACTGTAGGTCTGTGGCGCGTTCTTTCATTAACTTTTAAGCCTGTTTATACACCACAATGACCAGTGTTTGGAGTAAATATTATTCACAAGCTTTAAAATTAATTAAAAGACTCAGTGACCACTTGCTAAATGGGTAGGACCATGGCAGGGGCTAGGAAGGATAGACAAAAATAGAGGTGTCCATATAAATAGAATTCTGGAAGTCAACTTTTTCCAATGAAATGCATACCCACCCACACCCACACACACCCAGAGGTCAATTTTAGAACAATCAGCATAAATATCAAAGACAAAGCAAGGTCAGGAAAACTACAGAATAGCATGAGGGCAGAGAAGGAGGGAGATGGAACAGATGAGACACCCTTCATAGGAAGGCAAGGGCCACCAAACTCAGGTTCAAGAAGGAATTCAGTGGGCTTAGGACCAAAGATCAATGCTGAAAGTCAAGGATCCCCAGCACCACATAAAAATAAATAAATAAAATGAAGGTACCGTGTCCATGTACAACTAAAAAAAAAAAAAAAATAGACTTGGTCAAGGAACAAATGCTGATAGGGTACTGCAAGCATCAAGTTGGCTAGAGACAGGCTCAGGGACATCTGATTGACCCCGAAGAGCAGCGTGGTGCCACAGCAGATTAGGAAACAGATTTCTGTAACCAAAAAAGGGTTCCAGGACCCCTCCTACCATTTATTGCCTGTGTCATCGTGTGTGAATTACCTAACCTCTCTGTTCCTTAGTTTTCCCAATTGCAAAATGGGGAAGAGCCAATAAGACTGATGAGAATTAAATAAGTTAATACCTTCAGCTTAGAAACGTACATGGAAAAAAAAATAAGCACTTGTAAATGTTAATTACGGTTAACCTTTCCTTCTGTTAGTTTGGCTAATGTTTGATAAAACACCACCAAAGGTGTACATGGCTCCACCAGGGGACCTGCTCACCTGAGAAGGTCCCCTTGCTGAGACACTCTTTTATCCGGTTGGCTTTCCTGACGTGAAAGGCTTTCGTAATCTCCTGGTTCATAAAGGCTTCCTTGTTCATGATGTTTTCCACCATCATCCTCAAGTCAAACATCTCGAGGACCTCTGCGATCTGAGCCAGCCCCACCAAATCCTTTTCCTTCTCATCCAGTTGACCTGTATAAAGAAACTGGAGCAGGGTCCGGAAAGGGCCTGGCTGGACTGACGAGTCCATCCTGACCACAGTCACGGGGCCCGCCCGCTTTGAAATGGGATTGACCTGCATTTCTCTGTGCATGCCAAGGAACCCTTTGCTCCAGCCTGACAAAGGCTGCGTCTCCGTAACGGAGCCCTCAGCTTCCAGCCCCGGAGTCTCCAACAGGTTCTTGCTTGGAGACATCCCCTGATYGGCCTGAGGCCTCCTCAGGGCACCTTCTTCCCCTTCCTCATCTGCATCAAGACTCAGCATCCKGCCCTGAAGAGGTCTGCTCTGCATCTCCTTCTCACCAACGCCTTCACCCCAACTTGGGGATTCTTCACATTCCATTAAAAAAAGGTCGTAAAATTTGGAAGATGAGGTAGCAAGGTAAATTCGATGTGCAAAGATGTGCTCCTCGTCCTGAAGGATGAACAGGACGTCAGCACACAGTGGATTATCCAGTAAACAGGCAGCTTCATTAGTCCCCATGGAAGGACACTCTGGGATTTTGATGACTGGTGGAGGGGCTTTGGGAGGTAGGAAGGGTGCCTGAAGTAAAGGTTTCTGGACTTTTTTTAAGTGGGACTTCCAGAACTGCAGGTGCCGGCGGGAAATCAGCGCTGCGCGAATGGCATTGTCAAACACATCCTTGATTCCAAACCGGTCAAATACACTGGTTTCATAGTATGGTATACCAAGTTCCTTTGCAACCTCTCGACCTTTTTCTGGAGGCAAAATATCCCCTCTCTTTATGGGCCTGAAATAGAATATTTTTAAAAATTATAATCAGCCTTATTTTAGAGAAAAATAGTCACCAGTGTCTACCTAAGCACCTAATTTAATTATACATTTAAAAATCTATTCAAGCTTTAATAAGGATCTCGAAAAATCAACTACTAAACACAAGCCTTTCAAACGTAGAAGGTTTATGACTACAGATAAAAATGCTTTCAGTAGTAAGAGCAGTAACTAAAGTTGGCTTTTACTAGCTATTTGTTCTTGGGCAAATTACTTAACCTCATTAAGCCATAAAACAGGTATAATGATAATGATTATCCATATCTTTAAAAAACTATTGAAAAGTTTAAATGATAAAATGTTAAGTATAGTACTTGGTCCACAGTAAAACCTCCATAATGTTAYCATCATTATCGCTACCATCATCATCTTTATCACTTTCTTCTTCTTCWTCATCATCATCATCATCGTATGCTTAAAATTAGCTTTATAACTTTAAAATGCATCCATTTAAATTTTTTATCTGAGCCTGACAATAACTCTATCAGGTATTATTTTTGTTCTACATTCTGAGAMAAACTGAGGCAGGAAGTTTAAAAGGTTTGCATAAGGTCATATTTGCAAATTGTTGACAGGTCTCTACTAAGCCATGAGAGTCTAGACTCTCCTACTCCAGGTAAATGGTCCACATCAACAGCTATTAAGTCTACTGGATTCATATATCCTCTTTTCTATGTTTCTCCTTCTCTTTTCATCCACTCCCTTCATCAGGCCYTTACTATTTTTTGCTTGGACTGGTCCATTAGCCTCTTAATTGGTCTTCAAAATTTTCAATTTTAGCTCACAGTCCTCTTTGCTGCAAGAGCAGTCCTTAAATAACAAAGTGGGGTGCAGCAGCACTTCTGTGTTCATTTCCTATAATTCCACGAAGCCCATGGAATAAAGTCCRCAGCCCTTAGTCTGGCACACAAGGCCCATTTCCAATCTAATCAGACACAGAAGGCCAATATATAAAAGGTGTAGCATAATCATGTGAAGGAACCAACAGATTACAAACACAGATATGAGGTGAATTGGTGTTACAACTCTCTAAAAACACCTTCTTGATTTGGGGACATGTTTTTAGGAACCAATCTTCTAAATAAATATTTGGTCTTTGACACCAAAGGTAATATATATGACAGGTCCTGGTCTCAGGAGAGAAAACTGATAATAGGTGGAATTTGGATTTGGAAAACTGGGTGGATAAAGACGGAAAATTGTAGGGTGTTGTCAAAGGCAGAAGGGAAGTGCAGGAAAGATTGAATTTCAAGGMTTGTTCCTGCTGGCATTGTGTGTTCTTTGTTCCTAAGACTGACTTGAAATTTGCTAATATGAAATTCTCCAGACATAGTTCAAATGCCACCTCCTTCTTGGAATTGCTCTACAGAAGGACTGTCTCCTCTGCCGTTCTCTGCAGCTCTGCAACCCTCCCCTCCAGTCTTCCACATACCCATGTAGCTCTTAATATTCATTTCCTAGTCCATGCATTTATGAACATAGGAATTGTGAAAAGACTGAATATAAAGTGTTTTCAGAAATTTTATCCAAAATGTACCTAGGGCATCAGAAATTATCTAAAGAACATCATCTGCTTTCACTGTAAGAGTACATAGTGTTGCACTCACATAAAATTTTGTGACAAGCCTATTAAGGCAAACATCAAAGCATGGTATTAATATCAAAATGTTTTGAAAAGCTTTGCTCTCCAGCAAATAAAATAAAATAAAATAAAATAAACAACCATAAACATGAAAAAGAAGATACCAAGGTACAAAGGGAATTTGAGGGGGAACATGTTTCAAAAAACTTATTTATCCCCAAAGTTAGAATCCACATAATGGTAACATTATGGAGGTTTTACTGTAGACCAAGTACTATACTTAACATATTATCTCAAATACTCATTCAAGTGGATTTATAGAAAATTGTGACACTTTGAAAACACAAGTAAGGACTTCTAGAGACATTTAAAAATAGTGTTTGCTTTTTTTTTTCCTCCTGCAATTAACTATAGGTTGAAATGATTTTTAGGAATTGGACACTGTTCTTTTGGGATATGTTCTCTCAGGTTGGACTAAGGAATATTAGGGAAGTTAAGAGCACCTGGAAGGGCATATCTCTATGACCCCGATATTCCCTGGGGTCAAAAATTATGGCTGATCATTTTGAGCCTTGATTAATTTTATGTCATTATTAACACTATCATGGGCAGCTAACATTTTGGATAAAACTGTTAGAGTCTGTAAACAAGTCTGGATGGCGCCTGGCATTTTGCCAGAGGGAGTGGTTTGTGAAGTAACGCCATTAAGTGTGGAGATTCCTTATTGGTTGACTGATGTATCTAGTTTATGCTAATTAAGATAAGCTGTGTGGAATGTATAAATACCTCTGTTGTCCTACCATAAACGGCTCCCACTCCTGCTGTATCAACGTACATAAGTTGTTCGTCACCCCCCGGTTAATTTTGCTGCAGCCAGACTGCGGCATAAAACTTCATACATTTGAAAGCACTCCTACATGAACAATTTCATATCGAGAGAAGTCACTTCAAGCACTGGCCAACCATTTTACTAAAACATGGCTCCAACGTAAGAGATGATGCTCTGAGCATGAGAAGGATGTCAGGCACAGACCTTCACGCTGGACAGGCTGACTTACAGTGTATGGCTGATCGAATGGGATCTCAGAACCACTGAATAATAGAATGCTAGGCTCAGAGACACCTGCTACCTCCAACTCTTATTTTGTGCCCTGAAACCCCGAGTCATTGGCTTACCTGGCTAATGGGCGCCTGGCTCGATTAACAGCCTCCAGATCGGCATAGCGGAGATCAAGCTGGCAGCCAACAAGGACAACAGGTGTGCGAGGGCAAAAATGCTTGATTTCTTGATACCACATGGTTTTCACATGATTTAGGGAATTGGGATTAGCAATTGAAAAACAGAGGACCACAACATCAGACCTAAAAAGGAARTCACAGAAGAAGCTCGTATTGCCTTTTAACTTTTTTTTCTTTTACCACTCATCTAATGCCATGTCATGTCACAGTTAAAAAAAAAAAAGGCCAGATATTAAAAGATATTGAAACACATCTCTAAGTCATGCAAACAGCCTGATAAGCCCCCACATTCCAGCACAACACAGCCTGGTAGTCCATTTTCATCTCTCCCTGCAGAATGCTTATGCACGGAGAAGTTCCCAATGATGTTTATTTTCCGGTRGAGATGGTTACCCCAACTTAACTCAGTCCTGGAGCCATAACATGCTGAACTATTTCTGTTCACAAGAAATAGTTTCAAGATAAAAGAAAACAATAAAAACTACCTTTTACCAGTTTGAAACATAAAGGTGACGATGACTTGACCCAATGAGATAAAGCAAACAGTTTAAACACTGCCGAAAATGTCACAAGTATTTGCCGCTCAGGGTCAGCAAATACACAGAAGGCTTTCTGCCCTTCTTCTCACTTAGGCACACATGTAGAGAGCACAACCACTTATCTGTTTCCAAAAAGAAAAATCCTGAACTTGCAGGAATCTTGACTTTTTAAAAAACTAGGTATAAGGCTCAGTATTTAACATACAGCTCGGCAAGAATTAGACGGAGGGCTAATAAGGTGAGAAAATATGGGAATTAGATTTTTCAAATGTTATACATGATACATAGCAGGTATACAGGGAAAAGGAAAACTGGTTTATAGTGAACTCTGACATGGACCTTCTATTTTCACATAATAACTTACCATTCTAGAAGGCAAAGAACCATTTTATAAAACAGCTGTTCAAATATTGTTTGATGGATATCTGCTAAATAGGAATTATAAACCATCATTCCAGGTTAAAATATGCTCAATAATGACTTTCAAAACAGTGAGGCAGAAGAATATAAAAAACAGAAACAGCTGCGTGCATGGATTCAAGACTATCTTGCAGCTAAGTTCAGAAATAAACTCTTCTAATTTTATTAGATGTTAATTTATTGCCTTTATTGTTTATGTAATGAGAAGAATCAAGTCAATGAATCAAAACACCTTCTTTTTAAATCATTAATGAGCTTTCCCCCCTACATATCAATGAGGACAAACAAATATATGCAGGCAACCATAAAATTTCTAAAAATAATCATTTGCAATGCAGAAAACTGCAGGGTGCTTACATTAAACGTAATTCACAAGTTGAGTCTTCAAGTTATATCCAAGAAAAATTGYACCAGACCATAGCAAATAGAAGGGGAAGTCCTAAATTTAAAATATTTTGAATTATAAAAGAAAACCTAGGACTCCCAGTACATGAATGTATTAGTCTGCAGGGTTAGAATCTTCTTGAAATAAARATATTATCAAAGATTCTTGGGTGCTGGAATAATATGTGTAAAAATATGCACAAATATATAAATGAAAGGGAAGCATGTCTTGTCTTTGGGATTCTGATTTAGTTTGTGGAATATTCTGCGCTCAGTCTTACTTCCAATCAGCATAAATAACAGTACCCAGTAAAGCCAAGAATACTTTGAATTTTACATTTTTTTACAGGCTGAGTTTTCTATTATTCATAATCCTATTTATATCGAGTATCTGATGAAATTCTGCTATAAGCTTTGTCCTGATCATAAAATAAAGCCACCATGAATTTTGGCACAGTGAGAATAATATGACAATATTATTCAATATCATAGAGAAAGAATTGAGGAAATATATATCCTCTACCTAAATGTGGAATAGTATGCATATGTATAAAATTATTCTAATTGGTGCCTTCTATTTCCATATTAAGGCACATGACTCTAAAGAACATCATTCTCCAGAGCTTAATTTGTATGACAGACATGTAGCTAAATGTCAATTCTGTTATCTAATTTTATGATACAGCATAAGTCAGAGCTAGCTTGGTTGCCAAGGTTACTGTGRTAACACTCACGCCATTGAGCACATAGGAGTCACCGTGCAGATGACCTGTTAGCAAGTACGGACAGGACCTTGGGGGCTGGAAAAAATGGAATTCTGTGATGACAGCAGCACAATACCATCACACAATACAGGTCCGGAGGGCTCAGCTTCTAACTATGTCACGTCAATATCTAAATGCATGAAATGCTGTGGGAAAGCTGGAAAAACAATTTAATGTTCTGTAAATATTTTGCCTCAAAATGATGACAGTTGAAGAAAAGAGGCTGCACTGAGAACAATACTACCTCTGAAGCTAAAGTAACTTATTGAGCCAAAATTCTATTTGTATTTTGGAACAAAGTTTTTCTTTTTCCTTTTGTATTGTCATTTAGTTGTTACGAGGAGAATCCATCTCCATGATTTTACATTGAAAGAAGTTAAAAATAAGATCTCATTTTAACTATCAACTTGCATAAGTGTCTTTTGTTTAACCTGCATTGCTCTGAACACAAATGCAAGAAAATTGGATGTTCGGGCCACACAGAATAATTGTTTTTTAAGGTTTGCCATGTGAACACTGTATCCTAACTCTTATTTCTACCTAAAGGCCCAGCATAGGTGAACATACAGATCAAGGTGTCCTGTTGGTGAATTTCTCTTTCCTCCATCCCAACATGGCTTCCTAATTTGTAACGTATCAGTTATCCTCTGTGATAGAAACACCTATGCAAGCAAATGACTATTTTGAGAAWGCCATTTATTCTCTCTAGATTTTGAGGCCATTTTCTATCTTATCAAAGGAGGCACAAGACCTGTGGCTAAGAATATCTCCAGCTTTAGGCASAAGTCCAAGGAACCAGAGATATTAAATAACTTTTAATCAAAACATTCATTCCTGTGTGGAGGCTGTTCAATGTCTGACATAAGCCTGTGTTTAAAAATGCCATTCCAATGAAGATAAAAAGAAAAGAGCCAAGTTGTAGCTTTTCTATTTTCATGGCTCTGTTACTTTATTTTACTTTAAAGAGTGAATTTAAAAATAATTGGTTGGGGGGGGTATGATGAAGACATTTTTTACATATCAATCAGGCAGGGGAAGTAGTCTAGAAATGACCTCAGAGAGGGTCCTATTTCAGCTGTAAAAAGAACCTGATAGGATTTAAATGGAATCCTCCAGCTATCTGGAGTAGAAAGAATTTGAGAATACAGAGGGGCAGAGCACAGAGTAAATGAGACTCTAAACCCCAGGACATGAATATTGAGAAAGGCTAGAAAGAGGTTTAGAATGTTTATTTCATTTAGAAAAATGTATGGCTGGGCCAAATGGCTTTATTAGAGAAAGCAAGAATCACAAAGGACTTAAAGAGTATATGGTCCTAGTTGTTGGCCATGGAATGTGTGTTTTTTTTTTTTTTTAGGGAAAAACATGACTTTTTAAAAAATTTTGTCCCTAAGGGGAAAATATCAATAGAAAAGTTTGACTCCATTACTAACACATAAAATAATGCCTGTGAAATAATATTTTGATTAGTTAACTAAAAAAAGGATCCAAAATAAATTGATGTGTTGCAAAAAATGGGAATCTCTAGTTTCACAGGGGAATGAGAAGGAATCACAGAGAGACCAAGTCATTCAAAAATGCTTGAGCTTATAAAGCCAATCTTGGTTGTACCAGTTTTTTCTTTGGATATTAAACAAACCTAGGAAGCATATTTTTTCAGTTATCTTTTTAGGGGGGAACAGGGGCCAAAGACAGCAAGTGAAAGATTGGCAAAGACACGTGGGTAACATAAGGAGAGCATGCAAACTTGGGACCAACCTTTTTTTGGAGGATTAAGGAAAGAATCTGAGAAAAGTGCATCTTACCCACATATCTTGGCCCTAGCCAGTCTTTGAACAGCAAATATGTTCTGAAAGCCTGTCTTTACAAGGTCTACACTCAAATATAGCAAACTTGGTAGGGAAAATTGGAGAAGCAACCAGAAGCTGAACTAATTCTCCAGTCTGAAACACCAAATTCATTCTTTGAAGAAATGGTTGGAAAAGGGATAGATAAGCTGTATAATAACACTCTTATTGTTAGGAATGAATTTTCTAAGTTCTCTCCTATCACACAAATGCTTTCTTCTTTTTTGGGGTCCCATCTTCCCTTTGTCTTCCCTTTTCAGGTCTCATCAACTTTGCTATTTCCAGCTGTGGCATTGTGGGCKTTGGGTTTTCTAATCTAAATGAAAGGGGATAAATTTGAAATTATGCTTTATCTAAGAACAGCATGTCAGGACTGTCTGATGGGTCACACAAAGGACAGCAGATTCCATCCTGACATCCAGGAAGCAATACGGGGTTCAGCTGCGTGCCCCATGCACCATCTGGCAAAGATTCCAGCAGGAGTTCCTGACCTCTACACCTTTGGGGCTTCAAGCTTCCTTCTCCCTGATGACAAGTGAGGCAGGTTCTTTACAGAAACATTTTCAAAACCATTCATGTCGACAACACACCTTTCATGCACAGAGTCCGACAGTGCTATGCAAACAGACACATCGAAACAGCACAAAACAGCTGGGAGCATGGCAGAGAAAAGAAACGTGGAACACGTGGCTTGGAAAATTTTAGTAGGGGAGCAGCCCAGTGTGTATGAGATGCGGAGGGAGTTGTCAGTGATGGTGCACATAACCGCCTGGAGATGAATGGCCGTGTAAGCTCACACTCATGGAGGATGGAAAGGCCTGTAGGGGAGCGCCTGGCGGGAGCTCTGGGGAGAGCAGGGCAGAACCATGCAGCGCCCTGGATGTGAGCAGAGAAATCAAGTCCATACTTTACCAATAGCAGTGAGGCTTCTTAAGTACAGATGTTATGTGGGGAAAACTGTCAAAACACCCTGAAATATATCCAGATTTGGGAGTGATTAGCATGCGCAACTATTTGTTCCAAGCCTGTAACCGCATTTTTTTTTTTTTTTAGTAGGAAGCAACATTTTAAACCAGTCTTCCCCCACCCTTTGAAAAAGGGGCCAAAGCAATGCAGGTTCTCAAGTGCAAGTGAGCCACATCAACATCCCACCAAYGCCACCACATCCTAAGAGAGATACTTGGGTCTTACAAAGGCTTGATCCTATTGTCACAGCAGGTAATGGCTCTACCAAAGAAAGTTGTGGGTTACAGTACAATGGAAACAGATTCTTTTTCACTCGATATCCCATTTTCAATGTGTGGCCAACTGTGATCCTATTAGTGTATTCTTGCACCTCACACAATCACCAGAAGAAGTGGAAAGCATGTGAAACTGGGTGAAGCATAATCAATTTATTAAAAGAAACAGACTGAACAATTTCATTGAACTCCTGGAAAATGAGTACGGGATACACTCACATAAGACTCGGTTGGCAGCAGGAGGTGAAATGGTCATGAATTCTCTTCCAACTCCACCTCTAGTTCTCATGCTCTCTCACTTTCCCAAAAGCTAAGTGACTGAGAAGCTTCATTCCTATAGGCTTAGTGTTTTCTCCAGAGGGCAAGACTAGTTGAGATATGAGAAAATCTCCATGTTAGTGAGAACATCATGTGGGAGAGTTCCCTGGGATTAACCTCCCCAGATCTTCTGAGGCCAAATGTCAACTAACAAGATCATCCCATCACAATGAGAAAGGGACTTTTCCCAGGCCTCCTCGCAATCTTCTTTGAGCAAGGTACCGGGAGTCGTCAAGTCACTTATCTAATATTAATAAGCAATCCTCTAATCACTTCCTCCAGAAATAGTCAGGGATACCCTACTGTGCACCAGGCCCTTTTCTGGACATTAGTGACAAAGCAATTAGAAAAAGACACAAACCACTATCCCCATTAGGCCTACATTCTAGTGGAGGACAGAGTCAACAACAACAACAACAACAACAAAAATAAATAAAATAGGTAATATGCTAGTTAGTGGTAAGTGCCAATCAGAAAATAAAGCGGGCAGAGAGGACAGAAATATTGGCGAGCAGAAGCTGGGGCTGAAAATGAGGTGACAAGGGAGGGCCTCACTGAGAAGGCAACATTTCAGTAAAGAACTGAAGGGAGGTAATGTGTCACTTTCTGGGGTAAGAACAGTGCCGAGGAGGAAAAAGCTGGTGCAGAGGCCCTGAGGACACAGCATGCCTGGGATTTTTTTTCCCTGGGGAAAGAGGCTGTGTTGTTGGAGCAGGGTGGTGAGAAGGAACACATGCAGAAGCAGAACTCAGAGACAGGCAGTCAGGGCCAGGACAGGGAGGGTCTCACAGGAGTGTGGCTTTTACTTTGAGTGAGCTAGCCACTCAAAGGGCCATGCGCAGGGATCAGGGAGGAAAAGGAGAAAGAAGCAGGGGACCGGTTAAGAGGCAGTCTTCAAAGAGAAGTGATGGTGACTCTGCTTGGCCTGAGAGGGGTACAGAACAGGCTTTTAAGTGACTACATTCTGTGTACTAAAGACAGAGTCACAGGACTTGYTGAGGGATGGGACACAAGACATGACTTGTGGAGTCAAGGATGATCTAAGGCTTTTGGTGGGAGCATTTCTTTCTTGCCAGTTCCTGGAAGTGACATCTTTTAGTTTAACATTATTTAACAATGAATTRTAATACATATATTTTAAAATTTACTATGTACCCCATTTTACTTCAAGTTCATTTTAAAGAATTCTGTCCTTTTCGTATCCATTTCTCTCCCACTGTGCACAAGACAGTGTTTGTACCAAAGGGGTTCTTGATTAATGTTTATTAAATACAAAGGTCTTATAGAATTTGGAGGGTAAAAGCTGCAGACATAAGTAAGTCAGCAGGCTTAAGGTCTAGAAGAAATGAATTTAGGCTTAACATAAGTCAGGCAGGGTACCAGTTGGAGTTTTAATAAAGAATAAAACAGACTGTGAGCTATTATATTTCTTCAGACTATTACTGGTAAAAGATCATCGTATAATATCTCTGGTACATAGMAGAGGTTAGTCAGTTAATATTCTTTTAAAAATTACTTGAATTTATCTAAAAAAACCATTTACCCCATCTAATTGGATATTTCCATAATACCRGGATAACAATGAATTAATGATTCCTTGCAGGAATTAAATTATCTTCAGAAGCAAAGGAAGGGTAAATAAATGGGCAGGTTACTTTTGGGTTTAATTCTAGTTACAGGAGAATTATGGCTTAAGGAAGCCTTCTATTCCACAGACCATCTTTCTTTTTAAAAGAATACACAACAAAAGTCACTAAAGGTAAGGAACGTGATAAAYTGAAGAGCGAATTCACTGATTGGCTTCATCTTCCCGCCATTCGGAATTTCGTCCTTCTGACTATGCGCCCTGTAGGTTGAGGGCAGAGGCAGGCCTGGGGGAGAGTAAAGTGGTGGGATAATTCTGGAAATCTAATGAGTATCTAACATTAGCAATCACTGAMAGGATTGTTGCTAGGATTCACTAAGAAAAATATCCGTGAGAATGTTCTATAAAACAACTAAGTACTAGTTATTGTTGTGGAATTGCTGAAAGACAGGCAACAGCATTACCCACTGAAGACTGAAGAATTACTCAGCACTTTCTTTTTGCTCCCCGCAATTTAAAAGAGAAAACTGTGTGGTGCTGTATATTTCTTCATTGGAAAGTTCCAGTATAGAACATCACAAACTGAGGCTTTCTCTGTTTTCACAATGAAAAGTCACCACACCTCACTAAATCTGACCCAACTTGTCAAACCTGCAGTTATTAAGAAAAAAATAGGAAAAAAGTGAAAGGAATGCACGCACAAGACATCAGCTTGTTCAACAATGAACTTGGTCCTTATTCTCTTTGCCCACCTTGGAAACCTCATTATTTGTACTTTTGTGACGCCCTCTCTTGGGTCAATCAATTCTTTTCTGGCTGAGCCACAAAGGACCATCTTTCCCAGCCACATGACCCATGTCTGGGCAGCAGCCAGAATCCTTCATTTTGGAACACAAGTGAGCCTAGCCACTGAGACTTGTTGCTATCTCATTTGGCATTCTTGCTTTCCAGGACAGTTTCATCCTGGGGACAGGGCTGGGTCAGGCACAGGGATCCCAGGTCTTTTGATGTTTTCCTCTGGCTACAATATAAGTGTTCCACTTCAGAGCAGAAAGGACAGTGTGGGATAGTAGGCAGAGAGKGGCACAGGGCATGGAATATACAGATTTTCTGTGGGATGATTTGGTTGATTGGAATCTCATGCTTGAGTGATTCAGCACGGAACCCATACATTTCCACCCCAAATTTGATATTTTGAATTATTTGTATGCATTTAGTCTAAGCATTTTTGTTTGTTCTGGGTAAGTATATAATGATAATAATTTACCTGCAGTTATTATACTTAATGCTYCTCTTTGGGCAAGTGAAATACTATATACACATAATTATTTAAAAATTATTCTTCAAAAAGATCTTAGAATGATCTCCAGAGAAGAAACAACCTATAATTGGAAGTGCATTAATATTAATACAAGTAATTTTGTTTAAGAAYAGTCATTCAAATAAGGCATTACACACAAATTACAAATCCAAAAAACTTGGGGGGAGGATGTTTTGAGGACATGGCTTGAGTCTGTTTCCTTTTTCCACTGGCCTCACATCTCATCTTCCATTTGCTAATTCTTTATGGTGAAGCCAAGTACCAGGGCTTTCCATCTTCATCATCTCAGGTTGGTACATTCCTTGTGATTCTTACTGTACATCTGTACATATAAACTTCAATCAAATAAAATAAAGTAAAAAGTAAAAATAATTTGGAGTATTTGATAAGAATATTTTCTTAGAAGTTCTTGGCATGTATGAGAGATCAATCAATAGACACGTTCACTCACTCAATTAACACTTATTAAACTTCTCCTACGTACCAGTGTCTGGGCACTGGTGACACAGAGTAGAAAGACAAAAATCTCTGTCCTAGCATACTAGGAACAAGAGAATAAAGGGAAGGGGAGAGAAAATGAAGGAGTCAATTTTGACACAGTGTAGGATTTGCCAAGATATTCTATGGCAGCATGTAAGAGAGACACTTCACCTGTATTCTAAAGGTGAGAGGGAGAGTAAGGAGAGTTCAGAGAGAACGTCTGGGAGAATGTGACACTTGCTCTAATTCTGTGAATATCAGTAGTAATTAGTTGCCTTAAAAAAAATGGTTGGGATGGGTTATAATTTCTAGGTGGATATAATGCATCCTTGTGGGTTTAAAGGCTTCAGAGGACTTGGGCCTATAAATGTTTTGTTGTGTCTACAGCAAGACATGAGGCTGGAGAGGGAGAATGGAACCTGATCCAGAGAGACAAGCAAAAGTGGGAGTCCCACAGCACGGTGTTCCGACTGCTCCAAATGAGAGATCATACCTGATCATTCAACCCTGCATTCAGTTCCCAGCCGGGATGGCCAGGTAGGAAATGCACACTCTATTTGCACATATTGGGGGTTACCATGACATTCCCTCGCTCTAGACTGACTCGGCTATGAAACCCAATATTGCTACTATCTGATGGAGAAACAAAACTTCCACAGAATTGGGTGTTCTTTGTTTGGCTACCAGAGGGTATTAGGTAAAAAGAATCTTCTGAGGAAAAGATACAAACACAATCACTGGCAAAGAAACAACCTATGTGGTCAGAGAGTGGGCCCACTGAGCTCAGGGCTTTATTCCTGGGAGACGGGAAATAGTGTAATTTCGTGTAACAAGATGATAATGTCCTATCATTTTCTTTGACAATTATAATATTCCATTTCCTATACTCAACCATTAAGGATCTGTTTCCATTATTTTCCCCATAAGTTCAAAGAAATGATTTATATTTTTAATGAGAATTAATGTAAGGTTCCATAAATAATTAAAACATATAGCAGTCTACCATGCAAACATTTTCAAATATC